CTCCAAGATGCATTCTGTACCACGCCTGCCTCTAAAAATGCTCCCAGGGGCTGTTTGAGGGGGGACATGACTGACAACCACCTCAGAGTTTAGCAAGGCCTTGGCCTGCCTTCACTGCACAAAGACATCCAGAGGACTGTGCACGGGGACCAGCCTCCATCTCCTTTGCTTCCTCTCTGTGCTTTGAAGAGCCTACTACATCTAGAAAGAAACTTTATGCTCAGAATAACAGATACTATTGCTCTTCCAAGGAATATCTCCATCATTTGGAAGAATAAGTTGATCCTCTAATGCTATGAAGCTAATGACTCTTGGGAGCTTTTAAAATGGACAGAAAGTCACAATAAATCTTATATATCCTATGCAGATATATATACATGCACAATTATGTACATATGCATATGATGTTGCAAAACCACAAAATACCCTCCCTACTCAGATACAAATGTGTGTTTCCTAGAGAAACGCAGAATTAAAGATTCTGTAAGAGCAATTTTAAGGCATTTAAAGAGTCAAACTCTAGTTAACCCACAGAGAGATATTGAGTGTCTGCTCCCCACAATGCCTGCTACTAAGCACTTGAGAGAGAGAAAATTGAATAAGGCACTGTTCTTGGCCTTAAGAAACTCAATGTAATGTTAAGTGGTCAGGATTACAGTGTTTTGAAGTAGATAATGATAACATAAGAGCAAGAGCCTCCAGTATTTATTGAATACTTTCAAAGTCTGGGCACTGTGTAAAGCTAAGTTTGATTCTCTGTGATTTTCAACAATTAAAGTAGAATTTACACTGATTAGACTTTATCTAGCTTCTCCCAAACAGTTTGGAAATACCAAGTCAGAGACTGAAGAATTTCTGGCACTCTAATTAAGGATTTGTGACAATATATTACATATGAAACATTGTATATGCAAATAGCGTTCAAGATACTTGACACAATTTTTGAGCTACGTACAGTATAGGGGAGAACAAGCACTCTTTTTGGAACATGAAACTCAACAATTAAGTCCTGGCTTCATTAAATACTTTAACTGTATTGCCAGCTGAGCATTTTGAGCTGCCTCATAGCTAAGAGCTGGTTCCTTATCTGTGATTCCAGTAATAATACTATCCTTGTAGATTCATGTCTCAGAGTAATCATGAGATTCAAATGGGAAAAAGAAAATAAAGAGTACTTCATAAATAGTCAAATTTTGCAAATGTAGTGGCTTGTTATTATAGAATCATAGCATTGTGTATCTGCTTCCAGGACTGTTTTCTGGGCTATGCCCCTAGACTAGGTAGGAAGCAGCTACCAGCCTTTGTCATGTTTAAGATATTTCTAGTTTCTATTTTTTTTTTTTTTTTTTGTAGAGTGTCTCCTTATGTTGGCTAGGCTGGTCTCCCAGCCTCAAGTGATCCTCCATCCTCCCGCCCCAGCCTCCCAAAGTGCTGAGATTATAGACATGAGCCCCCGTGCTCATGAGTCACTTCTCATTGCTCCTGGCTCATTTCTAACCACTTGTTTTACAAACGCATTGTGTTACAGAATTAGCTTCTCATAATTTTTCAAACTGTCTGATCACATTTGATTTATTTATGTAAGTTAAATTTTTTATTAAAGGGAGAAGACCTTCTCTTTGTTCATACAATAGTTCTCAAGGAATTTAGGACAAGTATAATTAACAATTGAAAGCTCAGGTGGAGGTCGGAGTGTTTACAAAACATTCAGGAGTCTGAAGCTTCCCAACAGCAAAGGTGGGACGAGGCCAGCCTATGGGGGGTAAGAGTTTAGCCTGGGTGGTTCACTGACTCTCTTATCTCTTTTTCCCAACAGTGGTTTGTATCCTGGGTTTACTTGGGTCATCTGGCTGATTCACTGTTGCTATAAAAACAGGGCTGAGCACGCTGTGTTGAAAGCCGCTGAAACTGGAGGAAACTAGTCACAAAACCCCTGACTATCAGCTGATAGACTGCTTTTGCCGCCTGATAACTGCTCACACTTTTCCCACACTAGCGCGAGTCTTCTGGGCAGACAGGACTACAGAGCTGTTTCAGCCTAAATTGGCTGCAATCACTTCCCCCATGCTTGAGTGCGCAGAGCTGTACTTCAACGTGGACCATGGCTACCTGGAGGGCCTGGTTCGTGGATGCAAAGCCGGCCTCCTGACCCAGCAGGACTACATCAACCTGGCCCAGTGCGAGACCCTAGAAGGTAAGAGCAGCTCTTCTCGCCCTCTAAAAAGAAAAAAGGAAATAATGTCTCTCTTCAGAGACCTGGAGAAGAAACCATAATCAAGAGACATGACAGTGGTGGGGCCAGCCCTGGATTCAAAAGTCCTGGCTTTGACCTCTGCCATGCCTAGGCAGGTAACCTGGGGCTCCAAGCCTCTGAGCCTCAGCGTCCTCATTTGTAAAATGTGATGGTGACGCCTGATTTGCTGAGCTGTAGGAAGAAATAAATGAGATAAGCACTCAGCAAGTGGAAATTATCTTTAAACCACAATTTTTAAAAAACCGTATCAAATATTCCACATCTGTAATAGTATTTTTCTGACTAAAATCAGCTACACTTGCTCATTTTGAAACATTCTTATAAAAATCAGTGCTTTAAAACTTTCAGATTAAGGTGCTTTAACACTTTCAGATTATTCTAGAGAAAGAGAGAAAGTGCTAAGAATAAAGCCTCCTGGGAAAGGTATTAGCAGGCACAAATAAACTAAAAAAACCTTGTGAAGGTGACTTTGCAGGCTCCTGCAATAGGGCTAGAGAGTCCTGAGGCCACTTGTTTATGGTTCTGACCACCTGAAGCCGGAGTTAAGGCAGAACTACCAAGTCGAGATAGACCCTGTTCCTCCATTAGCATTGGCAACAGCTAGAATTTTGCAGATGATAAGTAATTCTGTTGGCTACAAATAATTACAATATAATCCCAAGTCCTAAATCACTTCAGCATATTAAATTAGGAGTTTGGTGAGTGAAGAATGTTCATCAAGTATAGAAAAAGTGAGTAAACTGAGATAGAAAAAATTAAAGAACACAGGGCAGATTAAGTGCTTCTGAGAGAAGCCATTTGAATGAATTCTGTTTAATTTTTAGACAAGCTTTTAAATGAGCTAAGTAATGCAAATTTAAATGCAAGCAACACATAAAATATCCTCCTGATACCAACGAGATGGTTTAGCCAGCTCACCAAAGAATTCAGAGAGAAACCACAAGAGGCCATATCTAAAGCCATGTAATAAATAATAGAAAATAAAAAGGTAAATAAGATAAAAACCAGATCAGGAGTTTAAAGTTGCTGCCAATATTTTCTGCCAAGGACCCTTTTGGCCAAAAGGTTCTGTTGAGGGAGAGGGAGAGACAGGAGAAGGAAGGGATAAGGTTAACAGATCTGCCTCCTAAATAGCCACTTGGCTGAAATTGGTATCTTCATGTTCTTTCTTTCTTTCTTTTTTTTTTTTTTTTGAGACAAAGTCTCACTCTGTCGCCCTGAGTAGAGTACAGTTGTGCCATCATAGGTCACTGTAACTTCATACTCCTGGGCACAAGGAATCCTTGTGCCTCAGCCCCCCGAGTAGCTGGGACAACAGATATGTGCCATGACGCCTGGCTAATTTTTTCTGTTTTTAGTAGAGACGGGGTCTCGCTCTTACTCAGGCTGTCTCCAACTCCTGAGCTCAAGCAATCCTCCCACCTCGGCCTCCCAAGATGCTAAGATTACTGGCGTGAACCACCATGCCCAGCCCGGTACCTTCATTTCCAATTTGGGAGAGAAGGAAAGGTTTTCAGACCCTCTGAAAGACTTCAAGAATGAAGCTACTTAAGAAATACACATAAGCACATACATACAGAATTCTTTATACAATGGCAGGGGTTCATGGACCACCCAAAGCCACTCCTGCACCCTGATTAAGAAATCCTGTCATGTGCACCATTGCTTTATGTGTCATTGTATCTCATGGTTTCTACCCTTCTCTCTTCCCCCTCTTCGTTTCACAACAATGTTTGAATGTGCGTGCCAATTTACTGTTTGGACACTCCCAGAAATACCAAGCAGGACTCATCAAAGCATGCTTGGGTTATCATGATTGTGAAGAAGATAAGTCTAAACAAAAATGTCATGTCTTCGCACCACCTGAAGGATGGACATATTTGAAACTCGGACTTGGGGGGGGAGGGGGCCAAGGGCAACATACGTAACCTAAACATCTGTACCCCCATAATATGCTGAAATAAAAAAAAAAAAAAAAAGCTTAAGCAGGTTATAGTTAGGAAAGTGGTGAAAAAAACCCAATTATACATGAAAAGTATCAGTAAATGTTATTGCTTTAATAAATGTGGGTTTGTTCTTTCAATTAAAAAATATATATATATCATGTCTTCAGTTAACAGCTGAGGACACTGAGGCTTAGAATGGCTGTGAACAACCTAACAGGCTGTTGGTGATAGAGGATAGAGCTACCTGTGTACCTTTTTCCACAAAAATATGCCACTGCCTCCTAAGTATAAATTGAAAATACTTGAATAGGTCTGTGTTGAGTTGACGTCAGCTCCATTTCGATATAGAAAATAATAAGGACTGATCCACCTGATTATTTTATAGGTTACTGAGAAATAAATAGCTTGCAAAGAGCAATGCAAATGTTGTATCTGCAACTATACTTAGAGAGACCGAGCTACCTTCTGAGCTAGATTCAGAGTTGAGAAGAAATCAAGGGCATTTCTTGGGACAGAAGCTAAGGACTTAAGCATTTCTGTTTACTTTTGCACAAAATATACATCATATAAATTATGGATAAAGAACAGTGTCATTACAGTACTACATGTTGAAGCAGGCAGTTTCTGTAAAAGAAAAGCTAACCTGACAAAGATTAAATTTGCTTTTATTCTTTTAAAGTCCTCTAGTCTTTCAAAGGAAAGTGTTCTGATATCAACAAATTGTTTTAAATCAACTTACAAGGAACACATAAGGTTTGGGGTAAGTTTAGAAAAGAGAAAATAAAGATTGTCCAGAAAAGCTTTGAAGAGTCTTAATATTCATAATTGTGCTTAATTGTGTGCATAATTGGGCAAGTATGGTAAGAAATACTCATCTATTCCAAGGCCTGCCCCTGACTAACCGTGACCTGATCTAGTCACTAGGACCCACTGTGACTCAGTCTTTCCTAGGTACAAAAGAAGAAAATTAGTTCCCATTGCTTTGTCACTGGTATTGCTTTAAGGGCTTTCAAAGTAACTTTGACCCAAAATAATAACTTTAAAGGAGCATAAAATATCCTTTAAAAAAATCAACAGTGCAGTTTTCATCAGAATTTTTTAAAATTACAAACAAGACTTCAAGTATTAATTTCACCATCTGAAAAGATGGTGAAATTAATACTTGAAGTGTAGTAATAAATGGTCTTTTCTAAAGCATGTGATGACAGTGTCCCTGGCTCTCAGGGTGTATGCAGACACTCCGGCTTGAGTGTTTACTTTGTCTTCTTTGACACAATTTTTTTTGAAGGGAACGAAGAAAGCCGATTCTGTCTCACTAACAATTATGTCTCTTTCAAGGGACTTGAGCTTTGCTCCCTCTCCAACTATGTCTTCATGTAGGAATTAATTCAATGCCTTATATTAAGCACTTTCTAGGTAGGGCCAAGAAAGTAAAGTTATGAATAAGACACAGTCCCTGTCCTAAAAGGGCTCCCACTCTGGAGAATAAAAATACTAGAAATAAGATACTCTCAAGGAGGGCAATTGGGCAGTACCTACCAAAATTCCCAGTGCATGTACACTTGGCCCAGGAACTCCAGGTCCCACAGACAGACTTGCACACAGTGAGGTGGCAGCTATACAAGCTCTCCATGTAGCACAGTTTGGAATAACAAAAGATGGAAGCAAATCAAATATGCCTTTGCAGGGAGCTACTTAAATATGTTACAAAACATTCACTTAATGGAATATGGAATATTCTGCAGCTATAAAAAAAAAAAAGCATGAGGAAAAGCACGAGGAAGCACTCTAAGGATAGATATGGAAAGATCACCAAGATACATTAAGTGAGAAAAGCAAGAGGAAGAACCATGTGTGGCATAGTACTGTTTAATAAAAAGGGGGGATAAATCTTAAAAATATATTTTCTACCTGATACAAAAACTGCAAAAGGGTCCAAAGGAAACTAAAAATAGTAGTTTCCTGGGGCTAGGAATGAGTGGCAGGGGGTGGCAGGTGGGTGGGTGACAAGTATAGTGACTTTCGCTGTTTCTCTCTATATATACCTATTACCTATTTTTAAATTTTAAAATAACATATAGGAGGAAAACTCTTATTTCAAAGACCTTTTCCTGTGTTCCCTTAGACGTTATTTGTACTGCTAATTATAGCACTTACTTTTTCTGACTTGTATTAAAAATGCATATCCAATACTGTCACTTTCTCATTCAAAAACCTATCAGTGGCTTCCATCAGGCAAGATAAATGTCACTCAGCTTATAGAGGCCGATCTCTACCTTGTGAGCATCTCCTCAGAACCTTTCTGCCTTTTCTAAAGCCTTTCCCTCAATCACAAATTCTATTCTCCACCCCATCCGGTTGGCCTGGAGAATGCCCCTTCCCCTCCCAAGTCTCCATTCAAGCCACTTCCTCTATAAACCCTTTCCTGCTGTATCTATGGGGGGATACAGCTTTATGCCCCATTGTACCTTATAGTGGACCTAATCCTGTGGAGCATCTGTGACATTTGCAAAGATGTGTCACCCTGGGGCAGAAAATTTGTCTCCCTTGTCTTTCTAGCTCCAGAGACTAACACACAGATAGGGGCTTAACTGATAAATGAATAAATAGATCTATTTCCTATCTATTTATCTGCCTTAGCTTCTGAAGGATGGGAACTACACCTTAAACTTTTCCCTGTCCTACCTCCCCAAGCCTAAGTAAGACTGTGTTTTGCACATAGTAAGAATCTGAAAAATCACATTAAAGATGTCTACATGTGTGGGTTCACTTCCTGGCTCTTCTACTTCCTGGCTCTGGGATGTTAAACAAGCTGATTAACCTTTAGCTCGGTGTTTTCTTATCTGCTACTGGCCTAACTCCCAGGATCAAAAATATCTGAGAATGTTTTGTAAACTGTAAGCCTTAAGTATTCCTGGAATATGCTTCTGAACTGCAGTGTATATATAACAAGAACTAGTTTTCCCTCTTCTGCTAGACTTTGGAATGCCTGAA